AAGGGCATAGAGCGTAAAGGCATAGGGGATAAGGGCATAGAGCGTAAAGGCATAGGGGATAAGGGCATAGAGCGTAAAGGCATAGGGGATAAGGGCATAGAGCGTAAAGGCATAGGGGATAAGGACGTAGGTGTGAAGCACCAGTGCAACCAATTTCACCATGATGCCACTTCTCTGACATTTCCTTCTAAAAGGAGGACTCACCATTCATAATGAACTCGTCGTAGAGCTGAACACCATTAAAGTCTCCACAGAGCCCACAAGTCTGGTTTCTGTATTTGTTGTCTATCTCCAACTGTGGAACATTATACACATAAAAACTTAGTTGTTAATTATAAATGGCAGCTCACACTAAGCTCTTTATTCTCATAACAGACATTTGTACGAGACGAGGAGGTAGTCCTCTGAGACGAGTGCACTGATCTTGGCATGATTACCTTTTGTCATTTAAAGGCAAATGAATAAAACAAAAAAACATTTATGAGTTTGACAGTTAATGCTTCACATATTTCAATGAAGTCTGCTTCTAGACATTTCATAAAATCTAATGTTTACCTTTCTGTTAACTGCTTACTAGGATTATTTGATTATCAAAAGTCTAGGTAAAACTTGAAAATTCAAGGTTAATATTACAACGTTCTAAATTCCTTTGAGGAACAATGGCTATTACATACAGAAACAAAAAAAGAATATAGGTGTGTGATTATCAAAGGTTAAATATCTGATGTGGTTTTGGTCTGTTTGGTGCATAAGCATACATAAGCTATTAAGAATATGGGGAAAAAATGGAATAAAATGAGGAACATTAACCTTTTTCAACAAGCAAACCACGAGAAACACACATATAGTAAACACACTATTATTATATAATAGTGCATTAGATATTATCACTAGAATCACCTCACGTACCCAATTTTTGCAATCTTGGTAAGTAGTGACCCAGTTTAATGAACAGCATGTTTTTCTGTGATGGTTAAACATGACGTCATCTCCATGTTTTCCAGAGTCTATGATTAGATAGATTTCTTACGAGGTATGTCAGTATTCCCAAGTTTACAGTAAATGTCTATGGGGGAATGGCTTACCAAAAGAGAGTCGTCTTTGTTCCATATAGCCGTCAGTCCCAGTTTGGCTGTGATCTTCAAATGTGACGCTGTAGCCTCAATGAGAACCCCAGCCTGGCTGAATGGTAGGGTGATGCTGAGGGAGCATAGAAAGCATAAATAGTACAGTAGTAGTATAGTAGTGAAATAGTAGCTGAATAGTAGTAATTTTGGCAAAATTGTTTAAAGGTGAAAAAAACACCAAGTTTGAGATTTATCAATCAGAAAGTCTACCAGAAGACAGCTTAAGTAGAACAGCCACATATACTGTAAATAACCCTACATTACTTTTTTCTCTTTCTTAAGCTAATGCTTAACTTTTCTACTAGAAGTGTTAAGGAACTTTGGTGGACTTTTGCAGTTTCTGTTTTTTTCCTTTACAGCAAAACAAATAGTGTATCACAAGACAGGAAGCAGGGGTTTGCTCAGTTAAATGTATTACAGTCAACAAAAATATTGATTCAGATTCTAAAGGAAAGTAATTCTCTGGAAAACTATAAACTCACTTGTCCCCGTTGACCTGGACCGAGTCCTTGGTGAGTTCCACCACTGCCCCATCCAGCTTCATGGTGACCTTGCTGATGGTCGGCTCTTCACCCTCCACCTGACGCCTCAGCTGGATGTTGAAGTCCTCATAGGAGCTTTTACAGTGTGAAGTCAGGATGTAGTTACAGCTGGAAGGGAGCTGGAAGACGTCCCCATCGAAGGTTTTGAAGTGGTAGGTCCCCCATGTGCTGCAGACCTGCCCGTTGTGTGCTGGTCTCACTCCTGGAGGACAGAAAACCAGAGGTGCAAATATAGCCATCCTCCTTCCAAACACTTCTCCCAGACAGGGTCAAGGAGCATAAATATGTTTATTCAGGAATGATGAGTAATTAAAATAACATAAATGTATTTATAAAAGCTTCTATGAAAGTGCTTAGTTTCCCTTACCGGCTACCAGCTGTGTCACGGAAGGCATGCCCATCAGCATTGGCGTGTGCCCTAACATTGTGAGGGACATGGTACATGCTATAATAATGCATTTTTCCAATACAGGATGCTACATGATGCTAAAAGGCTTAAACAAAGGAAATCTGATAATATGACAGGAATAATTTCACATTTGCAGTGTAACACTCTTTACTCATATAATAATAATATAAGCCATATTTTAAAAGCTAAGTTATTTATTGATATACATACTGTACACCGTATGTCGTATCTTTATGGTGTGTATAAATATTTGTTCCACACTATCTTTTCTTTGTTGTGTTATGTATGTTATGGCTAAATTTTGTGAAATCAATGCTAATTTTTGTTGTACTCAAGTAACCCAATTGCAGAATGGCAAATAAAAATCACTGATCCTTCAATGATTTACTGATCAGCAGAATGTTAAATACGTTTGTAGATCTTCATCAACTGCACTTCACCTTATTGATATTTCAGGTATATACCAAGAAAGTTTGAAAACCCACCTGTTTCTGCAGTTTGCAGCCCAACAAGCAGCAATAGCAGAACCTGGAGCCAGCTTGGTCTTGCCGTGCCCTTTCCCATGATTCCCTGAGACCCGCAGGATGCTGTTCGCAGGCAATCTGAGCAGCAGACTTACCTTGGCTCATCGTTTTATATCAGCTGTCTTTGAGGAGGGTCCGAGGCGTGGCGAGACAACAAGCTTGCAGGTTCTGCAGCACTACTGATTAACCTATTTCAACAAACACAATTCTGAAGTTGACTAAGTAAACACAAGTGATGATCTCCAATAATCCATCATGAAACATCCTATTTGTCAACTGCGTAAAACAACACTTAGAAAAAGCTTGCAATGTTAATATGTTATAGCAGTAAAATGAACTAAAAAACATTAAGACTTTATTAGGGTCTGTTTATTCTAGGTGTATTGGCTCACAAATAGGCCAATATAAATCTCGTCTGTATTAATATTGATTAACATTTAATAGAATATGCAAAAAGCATTTAACCAAAAATATAAATACTGAAATCTAGGTGTATTTACAATGTAAGAAATTCCTATACCCAGTCGGTGTCTCAGATGCACAAAATTCAGAAGTGCAAGTGAAATGGGGCCCTATGAAATCTGTTTTAATTTCTCTCAAATTACATTTTATTTTTTTCCAAATTCTCTTTTCTTAATTTATTTTGATCTTTTTCAGATTCTAAATTTCTACAAGTTGCCAAACCAAAAAGACAAGTATAAGGAGACAAAGTTGTAGTAATTTTCACTGTGCCGTATGATGTGTTGTGCTGTGTCTCTATTGCCTGTATCCTCTTTTGTCTTCTTAGAGGCAATTTTTTTCATTTCGGCAGCTTATAGCAACTTAGTTCTGGGATATTCAGGTCATTTGTGGTCAATTTAGATTTAAACAAATAAGGCAGGTCATTATTTTGTCTTTAATATCAACAGTTCGAGTCGCAGTCAGGTTGAAAACAAGCATCAGTCCCTCAGGAATGGACCCACGTGTCGTTGTTTCCTGCAGCACAATGGAGACACAATTGGTTGAAAGGTCTGATTAGGGGACCATTCCTGTAAATGCTGGAGCTACCTGTTATATGAGCCTTATGGTACGGCAACGTCCTTCATTTGGCCAGATTTGGCTGTTGCAGAATCCTTCCTATTAAAAAGTCTCTGGCTATGCCTATTGCACGTGTGTTTTATGCTGCCTAGACAATGGTACAATGTGAAAAAATGTGTAGGTTTATTATTAACACAATATCAACAAATTATGTGCAATTTCGCATTTATAAGTAAACACCATTTTCATGCCTTGATTCCATGAAATCATAGGGCCCTATTTAAGCAGATTTTGAATTTTTGTCTCAAAATGTGGTCAGCTGGTCTTTTACCGTCACTGTGACGATCCAGGAACTGCATCCTGAAATTTTGTTAGACTTTCAGGGGAGGACAGACAAGCAGCATCAGTCTCAATGCCAATGCCCGGTTTGTCCAAGCTGCATCACTATTTACACATTCCACAGCCGGGCTCTGCAGTTTGTTTGATAAGCTCTAGTAGCTGCTTGCATGCATAATCCCATCTCTTCTGTGTAAATTAACCAAACCCCTACATGATATACTATGAAGCACACCACGGTAGTTCAGGAGCTAAGATGTAGGAAGTGTGACGTCTTGCCCTTCATGTCCATCTGACCCTCCTGTCTCCTCCCACGCCTGTTGCTTGTTGCCCCTTGTTAACCTTTGTATTTAAGTGCCTGTTTGTCTCGTCAGCCGCAGTCTAGTCATTGACGTTGTTCCTCTTGTATGTCCATGTCCTTCCCTGTACTCACCTCCTTGTTTTAGCCCCTCAAGATCTCATTTGTTTCCCTGCTCCCGCTCAGTTCAATAAACCCCCTTTTGTTCACCAAATGCCTGCCTTCGAGTCCTTTGTCTTGCATCACGTGACAGGAAGAGGTTTAGCATGCGTGGATTTTGTACTGTGATTATTGAGCATTTGCAGTGATGTGATGAGCGATAGTGTTCTTGTGAGTTTTGGGCGCTACCCTTAGATTCTCATCCTCCACACAGTCCTAATGACACTGTGTGGGAATCCACCACCAAAGAAACTCAGCACTGCCCCCCCCCCCCACCCCAGGTCTGTAAGCACAGAAGTAATGGGGGCTGAGTCACTTGTACCAAACACAAATCTCATGGCCACTCTGGACAGGAGAGCCAGCTAAATAAATACCATTAATCACCATTACCAGGTACATTTTAGAGACACCAGTTAGCCTAAATACAAAATAAATAAAATCAAGCTTTCATATATGCACTTATAGTTTATTCATGAATTGATATTTTAAAAATGAAAAGATACAAAGCCAAGGGGATAGGAACAGAAAGTGTAATCGTTAATGGTTGATAGGTTTATGTTAAAGAGAAGAACAGCTTAACATTCATATTATTAATCAAGCATTTATCAAAAAAACATAAATAGAGAACAAATTCAAACAAACACAGTATCGTCGTCAGTGATCTTCAGTCCTGGTCTTCAGGGTTTCTTCAGGATGGAGCTGGACCCCGCTGCCTTGGCGGGACACTCGTTCTGGACACAGCCACACTGCTCGATGTTGAGGTAGGTGTAGGTGAACGTGCTCCCGTCGGGGCAGGTCATCTCCACCTGCTTCTCAGTGGTTGTGATTTCTTGACAGCAGGAACATGTGTATTCCATGGTTCTGGATTGCAGTGAGTACCTGACAGAGTGGGAACACGACACATTGGTACGATACGGTTCTGGACCATTGAAATGAGTCAGGCTGCTGTAAACCTGCAATTTCATTCTGGTTTAATAAAGTATCTGTCTGTCTGTTTTTCTACCTATCAACAAAAGAGTTCTCTGAAAATGGATACACTGCACTGAATACATCTGCAGTGCATGTTCCTAACTGCAAAGCCCTATCTTGATTACATGGGAAACAGAAACAGTTTACAAGAGGAAAGCTGAACTGTAGCTCCTTTTGCTGAACCAAAAGGTTATCAGTCAAACTGATACCTGACCATCACACCCGCTAAGAGAATACTCAGTCTATACTCGAGTTCCGCTAAGCTGCTTGCCCTTGGATACTTACACGGAGGAGGTGTCACAGGAGCCTTTGCATGTAGTCAGGATCACTTGGTTACTGGATCGGCAGCCATTACTGACCAGGTATGTAGAGTTCGTTGTGACATTGCATTTTTGGACACCTGAGAGAATGAAATATGTGAATGATTTAGTGTGGCACATTAGCTCAAGTATGGATGGTGGGTTTTTCACCCACAGTGTTAGATGCATCCATCTTTCAACCACTTCTCCTGGAAAGAGTCACTCCCACAGTCCCCACCAGCACGCCCAGCGTAGAGTTTTCTGGGACCCCACACCTCAGAGCTAGCTGGTCAGCAGAACATGCTGCTTCAGTAGCTCCTACATAACACCTTTATTGAATCTTTAGTGCAGTGGCTCTTTGTGGCCAGCTCACCACCACACATGTGCATGGTTTGAGTGGTGGGACCGCTGCCCAAGCCACCCCCGAGCTAGATACAGGAGTGGGTAGTTTTTCTGTGGATACTTACAGGTGGGGCAGCATCCATCTGCACCTGTTTTCACCGTACCCTGTCGGTGTGAAGTGGCAAGAAGGAACATATGTTGACATCATTGAAGACCAAACTTGCAAATTTGTCAGTACTCTCAGCATGACTTAATGTCTGCAAAACAGTGCATCTTATGACTATCTCACCGTGACTTATAATATGAGATGCTGTTTTCTTTACACAGCCTTGGTTGCATGGTGATTCAGGTATATTTGGCAATGAAGTAGCAGTTGTTTTATCACGGTAAATTCTAGATATTGTACACATCAGCTGGGCAGGTGTGAATGACATCGGACAGTGTGTCTCCCTGCAACTTGCGCTCACTCACAGGAATGCAGCTGGCGGGGTTGAAGAAAGGGCAGATCTTTATGTATTCCGTGGTGATGAACTGGTTGCCAATCTTTGCACACTCATATTTTATGCAGGGATCGTTGGGGGCTGCCCAGACCGTGCCAGGCTGCAGGATACCAAGGAAGTCATTAGTGAAGTCATAGGATGACCCCAAAAGCGACCCAAGTCACTTTATATGCTTTGGCCAAGCAGTTACAGTACAGTTGGTACCAGTGCAGATAGTACCTTAGATGTTCTCAGGTAGAGTAGTCGAGTTCACTACCTAAGCAGCTTTCTTGCTCTGTGGATCTCTCACCTGAACAATGTGCACAGTTTGACTTGGCAAATGGACGATGCAGCTGGCCTGAACACACCTTCCACAGCACTGGCCTGCCACATCTTGGTACTCATAACCCTGCAGAGAGGAGAAAGGCCATCCTCAAGAACCTGCATGAACCTGGTGAAGACTCTGCACCATCAGGTATTGACCTAGACAGATTTTAGTTTTCCACGCTGACGCTGAGCTAAATCTGTAATGAAATTATGACATGCATGGGATGCATATCATTATTAGAATGTGAACACAAAGAAGGCAACATACCTCAGAACAGTGGAGATCACAGACTTTTGGCGTACATTCGATGACATGCAGCTTGGTGTTGGGATCCACTGTACTGGCGCCACAGACGCAGTCCACACACGGGCCCTCGGGCACACTGTCCCCAGGCTGGAGAGAAGCATGGCACCCGTGCATTTAGAAGCATGAAAAGGCCTTCCAGGGTGGCACCCGTGCATTTAGAAGCATGAAAAGGCCTTCCAGGGTGGCACCCGTGCATTTAGAAGCATGAAAAGGCCTTCCAGGGCCCATTCTGAGGCATGTAGCCACACCAGCATCGGCGCCAGAACAAATTCGACACCCTCCCTTTCCTGAGGGCCCACTGGGGTGGGGGAAGTGGTAAGAGTGAGGGTGAGGGGCGGTAACAGTTGTTGGGGGGTGGGGTGCCTCTGCTCTTACCTGGTATGGTGTGTTATTGAAGACGCAGACTCCCATTGGTACTATGGAGAAACAGAGAGATTTCCAGGGTATTACAGTGTGTTTTACCACTGATGACTACATTTCAAATACACTTATGATGAGTTTAAACCTTCACCTAAACTGCTAAATTACTACTGGAGTTTGTTTTGACCATATCGATTTCCATGTATATGTTTCAGAAGTAAATATGACAAATGACAAGAACTAAAGCATCAAGGACCCCCCCCCTACCAATTACTATTATGCTATACATGTGCTTGTTTGTTTGCCATGTATCTATTTTTCAACAGAAACTTTTGATTCTAATTCAGATTTGTTACATCATCAACTATTTTATAACCTTGCTTGTTTATTTTAATAAGTATATTAAAGTATATTTGTTAAGAGCCTGTTTACAAAATAATTTTTAAATGATTAAAAATGATTATAATTCTTTTGATATGACTGTTTGGCATTTTTTGTACTCAAATGAAAAGTCCCCATCAGTTTTCGAGGTGGACGACACTTCAGTTGTTCTGGAGCAGCTTAGTGTCCCTCACTGAGATGAGATAAAACTTCCTTAACCTCCAAGCTGACGTTTCCAGCAAACACCCACCAAATAAACTCACCACAAAAGTAAATAGGGCAACAGGGTCCCATGATTATCTCTTTTGTGAATCCAACGTCACACGTGAAGTTTTTCGGTGAACAGAGGCTCGAGTTACATGCTGTTGAGACAGAATACAGGTTTAATAACTAGTGTGTTTGTATGTGGCACCCGGGGCATGTTCCACCTGTAAGGCGAAGGTGTGTCAGACCACCATTCGAGCAGCATTTCCACATCTCACTCACCGCATTTTGCTTTGGGACAGCAGTCGACTTCTTCGGTGACCAGCACCTGGCCCTCCTGGTTGCAGTGTAGCGGGGGCTGGTACGGGCACTCCATCGGCTCACAGTCGATGGTCAGAGTGTTATTGAGACACTCGCACGTGTCACAACCGATGGTCCAGACTGAACCAGCCTGAGAAAGAAAAACAGCCTGTGACTCCAGAGATCAGTTGGTGTATTTGAAGCCTAAAAAGCAGGGGCGTGAAACCTATTCAGCAGCCGCCTAGAGCACGGGTATCAAACTCTGCACATTTTTGGGTTTCCCCTCATTTAACACACCTGATTCAACTCCTTGTGTTAATTACCATGTCGATCTTGAGCTGAATCATTTGTGGTGGAACGGGGAACTAAGCTACACGGGGCTCCGGCCCCCAGGACTGCAGTTTGACACCCCTGGCCTAGAGCATCGTCCTATGAGCGACTGCTAACTTAGTAACTGTGGCTCAGCATCTGTGATCAGAAGGTTGCCGATTCAAACCCAGCCTCAGCAGAATAGTCATATGCCTGTGGGCACTTCAGCAAGGCCCCTAACCCACATCTCCATGGATCCTTCACTGTGATCCCTAAGCTTGCCCTCACCTGTGTGTGTGTGTGTCTGTCTGTCTCTCTGTCTGTCTCTCTGTCTGTCTGTCTCTTTGTCTGTCTGTCTGTCTCTCTGTCTCAGGAAGTGCACGATGGTGCTGGCAAAAAGAGAATTTCCCCAAAGACAGATGTCAATTCAGACCTCAAACAGATTGGTCGAGAAAAATCTAGCCACAACTCAACTGAAAACTTGGAAAACGACAAAACAAAACAGACCTGCTAAACTGATCAGATCGAGATGCGTCTTTGATGTGCTGAAACTAAGGCAAACGGACCTACTCGGATTCTCTTGCAGTACCTCTCCACCAAGTTCGACGTGCGAAAGTTGTGTTCCATGTGAATTTTTTGTGCTTTATCTATAGTACATTTAGTGCATAAAGGAAAGCAAGTCATCCTCTGGAGACAGGCAGTTGTAAAGAGAACACCAACGGACGATGGTGGCACAGGGGGGCAGGGGTGGTACTGCCTTGAAGAACTGCTCTTACCTCCTTCCATTGTCCATTGGGTAACATGCAAACGTCTGAAAAAAAAAACAATCACAAGCAGTGAGAGGCAGGGAGAAAATGCTTGCTTGCATATAGTGCTGTTTAACTGTGTATCTTGTTATATCAATACATTGTTATGCATGCCTAGTGGTAAGCAAATGTTAGCACAGTCATGGTCTTGGAGTGAGATGTTGCATAGATTAAGTTGGGGTTGAATGTGTATTATAAACCGACAGTCAGTGAGCTAAGAATATGTAGTTAGGATTCTATCTAGTTTGATCGCCAGGACAACTGAAAGTCAGTCCATTGCTTGCTGATGTCTTGTTTAATAAAACCCAGTAAGCTGGTCCTGAAAACTCATTGGCTGGTTGGACTCTCAGGCATTTGTGGGTGGCACTAGCAGGAAATATCCAGAGGAGAGGGATACTCTTACGTTTGTGGTCATTTGTGGTTGGGAACGGTGGTCTTTTCAGTTTGGCCCATAGAGTGTCAATGCATATTTTTTGTTAGTAAGGACGGCCATAAGTAAGTACGGCCCACAGAAACTGGGCAAAAATAACACTCACCGCAGCTCTTCATGCAGACGTCAGACTTGGGGCTCATAAGTGTTGAACCAGGAGGGCAATAGCACCCCTCACCAAACATATTTCTTATAATGCTGTACTCGTTTTTGGATGAAAAGAACATCTTGTTGTACCTACGGGATGAGATAAGGGTCAGAAAGGATTGATGCAACAAAGGTCAATTTAGGTAGAAATAAATACAAAGAGCCTTGTGTCCGTAGCCTCCAGAATAGGCTCCAGAACCTGTGCGAGAACAGGACAAGCGGTTACAGAAAATGGATGGATGGATGTATGGATGGATGGATGGATGGATGGATGGGTAGATGAATACAACAAAGAATAATATAAGCAAACGTGGGCAATAAATACGTAAAGAAAAGACTAAATTAAATAAGAAAGTAAGAACGTTGCAAACGAGGTACCGCTTTGGTAAGTACAGTAAAAAAAAAAGCCTGCAAATAGCATATGTACATTAAAATGTCCGTTCATGGCACAAGTGACTTTAGAAGAGGCAACATTGTACAGCTGCATGACAGTTAATAAGAAGGACCATCTGAAAATCCATAAAGAAATTCTATTTTATAGTAGTGTTATATATTATAATATATATGCCTCTTCTCAGAACAGTGTTATCGGTGCAGTCATACCTGAGATTGCAGGTTGGTTCCACCAGGGGGCCACACGGCTCATAGACTTTGGGAGCCTGGCATTTGTAGGCTGAGATGACGGAAACAGTTAAAAAATTGAGCGGTCATATGTAATGCTTAAAAAGTAATCCCTCCCCAGTCGTGGTGAGCCGTGTTCTTACCGCATACTCCATGGGTTTGGTTCCTCCAATCCACGCAGATTCCCGCAGCTGCGCACAGCGATGCATACATCTGCAACGTGCTGCAGCCAATGGGCACCGGCATGTGACACACGTCGAACGAACAGCCCTCATAATATGGCTCATACGGGATGACCTTGTGGCATTTTTCAAAGACTCTGAAAGGAACCAAATTTTTCCATTGAGAAACTTCATTTTTATGACATTTATCCTTGACGGCCACATTACTGGACAGTGATCGATGTCTTACTTGGATTTCAGCAGTTCGCAGATGGTCCGATTACAGACCGGTGGGTGTGGCGGGGGTGTGGGGTTCACTGGTGGGGGGCACGTCTCGTTATCATGGACTTTCCAGTGGTTTGCCATTTTGGGGCAAGAGGAAATGACCGTGCCATTCGGCAGGAGGCAGTCGTCGGTCCGGTTGTTGTCGCATGTCCCTTAGGAGTAATGAAGAGAAACATATTACATCATATTTTAATTCACTTGGCTGCTGTCTTTAGGCCACTTTTAGAAGACATGGAATGCAGCTCACTGAACTATTTGTGGAAGCTCCTCAAATGAAAATGAATACAACACATGTGCAGATCATGTTGGCCAGTGTCTACGTTAAAATGATTGCTCGACAAGAACTGAGATGGCCATTGATGACCTTATACACATACACAATATGTATAGTCTTTTTGTTGTGTTATGTATTAATGTATGTAATTGTTACTGTACAAATTTTGTAATGGTACTAACTGAAGCTGCTACTAAATTTTGTCGTACTTCTGTAACCGACTTGCACAATGACAAATAAAAATTGTTGATTTGAGATGAATAAGAAACTCATATGAAGCAGCACCCTAATTCTAACTGTTCTGGATTGTTTTTTCACGGTGAAAATTTCAGACTTACCACACTGTCCCTCTGTGTTGTTAAAGAATTTGGAGTATGGAAGATCAATGCTAAACATGAGGCCTCTGAAGGAGACCCATGCGTTGATGTCTGGTATGTACAACAAGGTGTCAATTCCATTATCTGTGATGCTGAAGTCACTGTTCTTATAAGCTGGGAAGATTTGCTTGTTGTTGATATAGACCTGCAAGTTGTAGGAAACACCAGTGAAGAACTTCAGTTTTTAAAAACAGCTTTACTGAAATCAGTATTTAGATTGCTCCAAAATGTATGTAGGTTTACATTATAGTGGGTTATGTAAGTTAAAGATGGTAATAGGGTTTTCACATGGCACATAAAATAAATGAAAAGTTACCAGATTTTTGAAAATTCCATTGATGTCCTTTTGTGTCATCATAATCTCGTAAGATTTGTAATACACAGTAAGAGACTGGGGACAGGAGAGATGGTCTGGGGCATCACAATAGTAGTTTTGAATGATAACACTGAAGTTGTATTTTGGGTAAATCTCTTTGACTAGTACATATGAACAGTTTCCTTGGAAGGGGTAGTATGTACCATCAAAAGTGATGTAATGAGGGTCACCCCACCCAGAGCAGAGACCTAAAAAGTAAGGGAAATGTTTTCAACAAACACACTACAATTTCCATTAAAACATATGTACTTTATGTATGAGTCTTAATTAAATTATCAGAATTTAATGTTTCTCTACATGTCTCACAAATCAGCAATAATGTAACCTTTCAGAAGCTTGCAGCTCCATGCTATGGGTTTAATAAAACATTTTTGATATGCTACATCTTAATACCACATTTTAAAATGTAAACTACTGAATTTCAGTTTCAGCCATGTGTTTTTGAACATCATTATGTCTTTTAAAAACCTATAATTGAAAATGGAACTTTTAAATAAAATATTTGGTAATTAATTAAAAATTCACTATAAAATTGAAATCAGTGGTCTATACTGTATATACCTGCATATATGAACCTGCATTTGGAATTCAGCTAGATACGCTGTAAAATTTGTTTGTCTGCATGCAATATACAGAATCCAGCATAAATGTGACTTCTGGGAAGGTGAAAAAAAAAACATTTACTCAGAACTGATGGTAAAAACATATGACCGGACTTACATCTGCATTCCTCCTGAAAGCAACATCCAGAATCATCATAGACTTTAACTGGACTATAACCATTGACGCACACAGGTGTCTTTGTAGGTTTACATTGCGTTTTGGTCACAATTATAGAGCCATTGACACAAGTATTCGTGCTGCAGTTACCACTACGCCATGATTCACCATTCTGGAAAAAAAAAAGAACAGCTTGTAGCTGAATTGTAACGGCGGGGGGGGGGGGGCAATACACACAATTCAACTTAGTGGTGCAATTAATTTGATTTATAAGCATTTACTAACATTCGCATTACCTTTCGGGGTGGGTATGTATTGAGACAATTAAGCTTAGGCACTGTAGTGGGTGACGTTGGACTGGATGTGACAGCAGTGCTACAAGGTGCAAAATGCTTTACAATTCCACATGTTTCAGTACAAAAAGCACTAAAACACCACCCATCGTAATCTGTCACATTGTAGAGCGGCATGCCTGAAATGAAAAATAAAGAAGGAAGGAAAATTAAAGTGACAGTGCTGCTTAAAGGATGAGTTAACTAAGTACAACAATATAAAATATTTTAGCTCTTACCAGGTTTAATTTGAGTTCCATTAAACCAGCAGACACAAGGAGTGCTGATTTGTGAGGCAGCATGGGGAGATGTAGGTGTTGGTCCTGTAATGATGGGAAAAGGTGTGCTGGTGGAGGTTGTGGTTGACTGAGGAGTAGTTGTTACTAATGTAGTTGTTGGGGTTGTTGTGGTAGTTGTGGAGGTTGTAGTAGTGGAAGTGCTGGTTGTTGTAGGGGTGGTTGTAGTTGTTGTTGGTGTAGTTGGGGAGGTTGTAGTTGTTGGGGTAGTGGTTGTTGGTGTAGTTGTACTTCCACACGGAACACAACATTGCACAATAATTTCATAATCTAAGCATTGTTGCTGGACACCTTGGTTTTTGTTGAGGCAGATCAGTCCGACATCAGAGTTGCAAATCACATCTTGACCTAACTCTGACAATGGAAGCAATGGATATTCTTTAGCTCTGCACTCAACTTGCAATGAATGTTCACAAATAATTCCTGCAGAAGCAATGATCTTTTGAATGGATTCACTTTCTCCACCATCGGGGCCAGTTGTGG